GATGGAATCAAAGCTAAAGGCAGTCCAACGAAACATTAGTGTGACCTTTTTTTTTTTGGAGGTGACTTTTTTTTTGACCAGTGTATATGGATGCAGTTGGAGGACATGGATGCAGTTGGAGTGAGGACAGAGTGAGATGGAGGAGGGTGACTCACTGAGACCCCTGAAGAGGGAAAAGCCAGAAGAAGAAGGAAGTACCTAGCGAATAGATAACTTCCAATTAGAACAATAATGATGGTCAAAACTCTGTTTTTTGTTTCTGATTTGAATTTTGTGTGTATAATCTATGGTTTAAAAAAGTAATCATTAAATGCCATAAGTGTACAGTATAATTTGTAATAAATGAGCAAAATTGGGTTTTGTTGCCAACAAATACAGCAAAAAAGTGTTTTAGTGGAGGAAATCAAGTGGTTGAGTGCGCAAGTTAAAATTTAAGATTATAGGCAAATGAGCTGTCCTACTGGCTTCATCCGGTCGTGATCTACAGGTTTGCTGGAGCGGTTCGCAGCTGAGTGTGATGCAACCGGGATGGGGATCAGTTCCTCCAAATCCAAGGCCATGGTCTTGAGCCAAAAAAGTGTAGAGTGACACCTCCGGGTCGGGGAGGAGATCCTGCCCCATGTGGAGTTCAAGTATATTGGGGTCTTGTTCACAAATAAGGGAAAAATGGAGTGATAGATTGATAGGCGGATAGGTCCGGCATCTGCAGTGAAGTGGGCGCTGTACCGGTCTGTCGTGGTGAAAAGAGAGCCATGTCAAAAGACAAAGCTCTCAATTTACCAGTCAATCTACGTTCCTACCCTCATCTATGGTCATGAGCTTTGGGTTGTAAACGAAAGAACGAGATCACGGATACAAGCAGTCGAAATGAGTTTTCTCTGCAGGGTGTCTGGACTCTCCCTTAGAGATGGGGTGAGAAGCTCGGTCATTCGGGATGGACTCAGAGTAGAGTCGCTGCTTCTCCACGTCGAGAGGAGCCAGTTGAGGTGGCTCGGGCATCTGGTTAGGATGCCTCCTGGACGCCTCCCTGGCGAGGTGTTCCGGGCACGTCCCACCGGGAGGAGACCCAGAGGAAGACCCAGGACAAGCTGGAGGGACCATGTTCCTCAGCTGGCCTGGGAACGCCTCGGGATTCTCCCGGAGGAGCTGGCCCAAGTGGCTGGGGAGAGGGAAGTCTGGGCCTCCCTACTTTGACCTGTTTACATGAAAACAATTTCTGGTGAAAATGGAAGTGTTTCATTGCGTTTGTACTGTTCATTTACACGAAAATAGCAAATGTTTTCTCTGACAACGGCGCAATTTGAGAATGGCCTCCAGAGTGCAATGTTTCAGAAACGTCCTGGTGTCCATTATTTTGTAAACTGAACTGGCGCATGCGCAGTATGACACAAAAACAACAACTTCCTACAATCCAACGAAGAAGAAACTTAATGGCGAATACCAGAGTATTGTTTTTGCTTCCGAGTCTGATAAATCTAACTATGGTTCTCCAACACAGTGCTCATTTTCTATCTCTTTATTTAAATAATTGAAGACGGATCTCATACAGCTCCACACTGTTACTTAACGGATGTATGCGAAGAAGAAACATGGCAAGGAGGTGCTACTGGACGCGACCTGGGAGGACAAGCTAGTGGTGGGATAACTTTGTAAACAATGCAGTCGATGAGAAAGAATGAAGGGATAGCACCAACTAGTGGCGAGGCGGGGTAATTACACTGTTTCCACGTCTACCGTTACTGTGTAATCAGAGACTGTAATTGAAATGTTTTCATGAAAATGTGTTAATAGAAATTTGAAAAAAAAAATAATAATCAGCTGTTACCCCCGTGACCCGACCCCGGATAAGCGGAAGAAAATGGATGGATGGCAAATGAGCTGTACAAAAATATTTCAAACTAACAAAATAATTTTCGAAACCGATTGCTGAATTTACTTGTAAACAAAGAATATTAGCTGCTTCTTCAATGGTAATTCATCAAACGGCAAATCGAAAAAATTATTAAAAAATATATATATATAAATCGCATTAAAAAAGCAACGTTGATCAAAGAGCTTTACAAAGAATAACTAGGAAGAACCATCAATAAACCAATTTTTAAATCAAACATTAAAAATCCACAAATAAAATAAATATCACAACTCTAAAATTCTGCTGGAACTCAAACTGAACTCAAGTTAAAATCAGGTGTAAAAAAACTTGGGTTTTCCAGTGGGTTTTAAAAGACTGTACAGACTAAAGAACAAATATCAGAACAACCTGCTGATTACTCAAGTCAGGGGCCTGCCACTGTAAAAGCCCCTAGACTCTGGAAAATAAATCCCTCTCTAATAGATGTCCAGAATATGCAAGTTTAAATTCCCTTATAGAAACAACGTTTGTTTTCTTCACTTGCCGTATTGTCTTTTCAGGACTGTACCTCTCCGTGGGCTAGCAGTAGAGAGAAACCACAGGACAGACCGAGGAATTACCATAAATACTAGAAATGCTACGCTGCTTAAAATGAGTTACCGTGAATACTAGAAAAGCTAGGCTGTGTAACATAAGTTACTGTAAATACTAGAAAAGCTAGGCTGTGTAACATAAGTTACTGTAAATACTAGAAAAGCTAGGCTGCGTAAAATGAGTTACCATAAACACTACAAAAACTAGTCTGTGTAACGTTATTGTAAATACTAGAAAAGCTAGGCTGTGTAAAATGAGTTACTGTAAATACTAGAAAAGCTAGGCTGCGTAAAATGAGTTATTGTAAATACTAGAAAAGCTAGGCTGCGTAAAATGAGTTATTGTAAATATTAGAAAAGCTAGGCTGCGTAAAATGAGTTACTGTAAATATTAGAAAAGCTAGGGTGCGTAAATTGAGTTACTGTAAATATTTGAAAAGCTAGGGTGCGTAAAATGAGTTATTGTAAATACTTGAAAAGCTAGGCTGTGTAAAATGAGTTATTGTAAATACTAGAAAAGCTAGGCTGCGTAGAATGAGTTACTGGAAATACTAGAAAAGCTAGGGTGCGTAAAATGAGTTACTGTAAATACTTGAAAAGCTAGGCTGTGTAAAATGAGTTATTGTAAATACTTGAAAAGCTAGGCTGCATAAAATGAGTTACTGTAAATACTAGAAAAGCTAGGCTGTGTAAAATGAGTTATTGTAAATACTAGAAAAGCTAGGCTGCGTAAAATGAATTACTGTATATACTAGAAAAGCTAGGCTGTGTAAAATGAGTTATTGTAAATACTAGAAAGGCTAGGCTGCGTAAAATGAGTTATTGTAAATACTAGAAAAGCTAGGCTGTGTAAAATGAGTTATTGTAAATTTTAGAAAAGCTAGGCTGTGTAAAATGAGTTACTGTAAATACTAGAAAAGCTAGGCTGCGTAAAATGAGTTATTGTAAATACTAGAAAAGCTAGGCTGCGTAAAATGAGTTACTGTAAATACTAGAAAAGCTAGGCTGCGTAAAACGAGTTACTGTCAATACTAGAAAAGCTAGGCTGCGTAAAATGAGTTATTGTAAATACTAGAAAAGCTAGGCTGCGTAAAATGAGTTACTGTAAATATTAGAAAAGCTAGGCTGTGTAAGTTACTGTAAATTAGGGCTAACTAAACTGCTCAGGAGGCCATAGTTACTGAAAGAAAAGAGCTCGGGGGCTGGAAATCCAGCATATATTCTCATTAAGCAAGTTTGTTTTACGATTTAAAATAGAGTTTTATTTAAAAATGAACCCACTGGTGGCCTGAACTGAGCACACCTGTGGGCCTGATTTGGCTCCCAGGCCTCCAGTTGAATAGCCCTGCCATAAACACTAGAAAAGCTAGGCTGTGTAAAATGAACTGCAAACACTGGCAAGTAAAATATGATAAAATGTACATATAACCTTCAATTTAAGAACAGATCTGGGTCTATCATACAAGACTACATTTGAATTCTGTTTCTGGACCTTGGCCAACCTGTTGGTGACCCCTGCTCTAAACAACATTTTATTTGGTTATAAAATAAAACTATTCATTTGACACACACAAAAAAAATAATTATAAATTGCAACAGCAAATAAAATGAGGAAAAACCAATATTTATGCAGCAGTCTCTGCATTTGTTCTAGAATGTACATTTTATCCATATATGCCCTTTTATTTACTTAATACGAACAGAACTTATCTTCATCTTGGACATTTACGGCAAGTTTTCCTTAACGTTGTGCATATTGCAGTGGTTTTCCATTTTGATTCTGACAAAAAGCAGGACTTGGTTTGACGCAGAAGTCGTCCAGGATGCACCTTTCCCTCCCTCTCCTCCCCGGTATGATATGCAGCTATACGTCATACATTTAGCTGCCTGCCTGGGGGGAGAAGATGGCTCTAATCACTGGCTGAAACACAGGAAAACATCCCGCTGCACGCCTTCCTGACACCAAGGAGAAGCAGGCGGCTCCTCCACAAGACCAACATGCTTCCTCTGCATCCTCCTCCCCATCATCATCATCATCATAGATGCAAAAACAAAATGTAAACCCATCTCTTTACAGAGATGACCTACATGTAATTATGTGCAAAGATTGAAGCATCAGGAGCGGAATCCCCCCCCCTGGTGTGAAGCCAATCATCAGGGGAAGCCTGCTGCCACCAACAGACAGCTTACACCAGAAAAACATAACAAACATGCAACAAAAAAACCTTTGTAGAGGGATGAAGGTTTGATCTAAATATAGACGCTGTGTCACATCTCCTCCTGCCGTGTGTACACAGCATGGGGAACACCCTGCAACGACCAACAATCGCCATAATAATCTTACACAAGCATGACTAGGAAAAAAAAAACTGAAAAACATTAAATATAAATTTTAAAAATGCTGCACTGCAAAACAGGAGTCCTCTGAATTTTTTGTGTCTCCATGTTACTCTATCATATGCCTCAAAACAGCAAAATGTTGAGCAAATTATCCTCCACAACAGCGTTGAAACACTTGTCGACAGTGGACAACCCCCCCACCCAGCTTTACGCACCACAGAGTGATATCTCGGTGATTCTTCCTGCAAAAAAAACAGAACAAAAAGTACAATTGTAGCCATAACTGTTCAGCAATTCTTACTGTTCTCGCTGAAGTCACTAGAAAGTTTTTTGTTTTTAACTAATTAGCCTTTTTTTTTTTTTTATGAAAGGCAGGCTGGTGGTGCTCATAAATAATCTAGAATCCTTGCAGAAAATACTTGGGCAGCTAGTCAGCCTTGCTGAAAGCTAACGCCTAGCTGAGCGGCTAGTAGTTCAGCTAAATCGCAAGCTAGCAAACAAACAGCCATAAAAAAAAACGAAAAATGGCAATACTCACGTCACTATCGACTTCGATATCATCGTTATCACTCATTCTTCGACAAAAAGTTTAGGTTTAAAGGAACGGGCGGCTATAAAAGCAGCATGAATCAGTTTAGCACCGAGTGGAGCGCCTAACACACGGACAGCTAGCAACACTACAACAGCATCAGCTCACGTTCTGTTTGGACAGAACTGAGGGGGCTCTACCAGCTCCACGTGACTACACTAAACACGCGCAACTTCTGCTGCGTAGTGCGCATGCGCGACATTATGAGGGCTTCTGGGACTTGTAGCTACACTAGTAAGCTTTGGCTTTTTTGATTACAAACACTCACGTTTTTAAGGCGTTTTCACTCATACCTCACGCAGCAATATGTAACTTTTGAAAAATAAACTACGTATTTTTCATTAGCAACACTGAACTATTAAAAAATAAAAACAAATGCCATTTTTTTAAACTACAATACCCGAAAGCGCTTTAGCCTGGTCGTGACGTTTCAGCGTCCCTTTTTATCGTGATGCATTATGGACTTTGTATTTTTAGCAGGATTTGTATGTCAAAATAGCTGCGGAGGGCTATGGCTGAGACACGTGGAATTCAAGAATGGATTCTATGTGAAGACATTACCAAAACAATGATCTGTGTTTGTTATTAAAACAACAAAACAAGGACATTTCACATATTAACGTAACACATATGGAAACATGACATGCATCACATTTAAAAAGATGCATTTTAATTATTATTATTATTATTTTTTAAACCTGCTTTTCCAGGATAGATTTGTTCAGTATCTTTTATATTTGCCAAATCATATTTAAAAAACTAAAAGTATATTAATAATAATAAAACGTGTTTGGAAACACGTGTTTTTTTTCCCCACTAAAAACCTTTAACTTGAAAATTATTGTTAAATCTGTAAATTTTAACAAAAGTTGGTTTATTGATTACACATATTAAACAACACGGTAGAACTTTTTTCTTACAATTTGTGTTTGGATAAATATTACAAGGAAGGAAAGGAAGGATAGATGGATGATAGAGTTAACATTTTTTTTAAGTCAGTTTGGTGCAGGGCTTATTTTTGTGATAATTGTTCTCTAAACAATAGTTTACATTGTTTAAACATATTTTAACTTGTGTTTAAGTCTAAATGTTTGTGGGGGGATCTCAAATAATCTGCTCTGCAGCTTCTTTTTTTTTTACTGTAGATAAGGAGCTTACACTGTGGACTGTGGATTATTTTTGCACAGCAACAGTGGATCAGTAAATGTGTAAAAAAAATTAATAAATAAATAAAGATGGGAGCATGGCCGTGCACCCCCTCCCCACCCCACTGGCAGGTCAAAAGGCCATAACAGCTGCAGAAGACTTTGCTTTCCCTGCAGAGACGCAGCTTTAGATCTGCGCCGCAGCTTCTTTGTATGGTCTCGTCCTCTCTGCCTTGCCTTTCACCTCCATTCCTCACTGCTGGTTTTGCACACCATTCACACCATTTGATGGAACTACGTGGTCTATCCTGCAGTAGAAATGCCAGAGAGGACCACCGAGACACATACTGTAATGTTGTGCCCTAAGATATGAAAACTGAATAAGGTCAGACTTTAATAATGCATCTGATGCAGAGAAGTCTTTCTGTCTTAACAGATGACATCAAGGAACCGGCTAGTCTTAGTTGTGCACCAAATTCACATTTACAAAGAACTGTTACACAAAAATATGATAATAAAGGAGAGCGGTTAGCACCCCAACACCAGCCTTTAATGTTATTTCTCTTCATCTTGAGCTGAGTAATGACATGCATTAGATTTATTTCACTTTGTAGAATTCTGTGTCTCGTTGCAGGCGACACTGATCAGAGGTGGCTTGAAATGAAGAAGGAGGAAAAATCTTGTTGAATTCCCGGCATGTAATTAGAACTGCAGAGGTTTTTCTGGTCAGACAGTTTCTCGTCGTTACTGGGCCTTCGCTAGACTTGGAAAAAATTTTCTAATAAGGAAAACAGATTTTTTTTTAATGTCCTAGACCTGCAACCTGTCCAGCTCCCCTGAAACAAAGACAGAAATAAGGGGATAAAGAAAATGGGTAGAAGAATCATTTTATGAAACATCCATCCATTCATCCATCCATCCATCTGTCATCCATCCATTTGTCCATCTATCCATCCGTCTGTCCATCCATTCATCCATCCAGTCATAATTTCATTCATCCATCCATCCATCCATCTAGCCATATATCCATCCATTCTTCATCCATCATTTCATCCAACTAACCATCCATCTGTCCATCATCCATCCATCCATTCATCCATCCATCATTTCATCCAACTAGCCATCCATCTGTCCATCATCCATCCATCCATTCATCCAACTAGCCATCCATCTATCCATCCATCCATCATTTCATCCAACTAGCCATCATGTCCATCATCCATCCATCCATCATTTCATCCAACTAGCCATCCATCTGTCCATCATCCATCCATCCATTCATCCAACTAGCCATTCATCTATCCATCCATCCATCATTTCATCCAACTAGCCATCATGTCCATCATCCATCCATCCATCCATCCATCCATTCTGCCCATGTCCAGCCATCACTGTGTGAGAGGCGGGGGACACCCTGGACAGGTCGCCAGTCCATCACAGGGACACATAGCGATAAACAACCATTTCAATTCAAAACTGACCAAGAATTTATTTTTCTCTCAAACTTTGTGTTTTAATAGCCAGAAGTTGAGCCGTTTGTGTATTATGTTCATATGAAACATTTCTGCTACTAATGGGGGCCGAGATGGTGCAGAGGCAGAGCAGCCAACTCGGGACCCAAAGGTCACGGGGTCAATCCCCAGTCACTGTGCACCTGGTGGTTTCTGAGCAGGACACCTCATGACCAGCTGCTAGCCGGGTGCTCTCAATAGCCGCCCACTGCGCCACCTGGTGGTGGATGGGTTAAATGCAGAGCCAATTTCACTATATTATGGGAACATACAATGATGACGATACATAACACATTATTATAAATATTTGACTTTTGACTCAGCGAGAAGACATTTTGTTTTAAGTCTCAGCTCTTCCTTGTTGCTGGTTCTAATTTTCATATTTGATTAGAGTAATTTTTTTATTTTTATTTTTCAAATGACGTAACTTGATCTCTTAAATGCGCCTTTAAAGCGTCCCATCTGATTTTAGTGAATACCTTATGCATAATTTAAGATTGGATATATACAAGTGTAAGTGTAATGGACTTGAGAGAAAGAAGAATAGCGAATAGAATAGAATATTAGCGAGGTTTGAATAATGCTACTGAGTAGCTAATTGCTACTGTCAGCTGATGTCGGAGTCGTTTGAATCACATACTGTGAGTAAAACATATGGTACTCTTCCGGACACTGATTTATTAATTATCAGTACATTGCGGGTGTGTGTTGCCAGGAATTAGTTTACAGCTGAATGTAGGTGGGCCACAAAGTTTTCCAAAGCTTTAAAATGACAATGAACTTTTTCGTCTGCAGGGTTGTAGTGAACCTCTGCAGGCCTTATAATTAAACCTATACAAATACTTCAGGCACAAGAACTGCATAAAACATTAAAAATAAACATTTGTACTCGTAACAAACAATCCTATAATCCTAATAATCCTATCCATCCTATTTATTAAAAAAAAAAAACAACTGTCTATTGTTGTCGCTGTTGTCCATTGTTTTTCATCATTCTTTGTTGAAATCAAATAAATCGTTGTTAAAAATGAAATTAAATGTAAGTTAATTAATGAAATGTCAATAATTGTTGATAATATCATGGAAATAACAACAATAGAAATAATAGACAAGAATGATAAAAACATATTGATAAGTTGTGTATATCGATCTCCAGGATCAAATATAGAAATATTCACCGATAAAATCGTACAACTATTGGACAAGAGTTTTAATAAAAGCATTTTTTGTGTGTGGAGACTTTAATATTGACCTGGGAAATAAAACAGATTCAAATAACATCGGTACATTTACAAATTCATTGTATAGTTTAAATCTTTATCCGTTAATATCAAAACCAACAAGAATTAAAACTCATAGCGCTACAATAATCGATAATATTTTCACAAATGTAACAAATGGGGATGTGATGGGAGGTATTTTAACGACTGATTTAAGTGATCACTTACCAGTATGCTGGTGAAGATTCTCAGTCATCCAGGACATGATGAATTCAAAAAACGTTCAATACAAGAGAGGAACAAAGACCTACTGTTAAGGTGTTTAGGTGTGAACTGCCAATCTACATATGTGTGTGTGTCTTATCTCACTCAGCCTTATAACCTGAATCTCTCACTCTCTGCTCTTTGAATTGAGAAAGCTCCTCGGATGAGGAGCGAAACGTCTTCTGTTACAAATAAAGTCCAGTTGTTTTTGTATTGAACGTTTTTTGAATTGATCATTTACCAGTTTTCACGATTTATAAAAATGATCAAAGCATTACAAAAGAAATTACAATTAAGAAAAAAACAATAAACACATCAAAAAAGCAATGGATAAATTAAAAGATGATTAACATAAACAAAGCTGGAAAGACGTGTATGTTGATGATGTGAACAGATCATATGATGAGTTTATGAATATTTTGGGAGCTCTGTATGAAAAGAATTGTGTGCAAAATAATTATACAAAGAGAAACGTTGTTGACCAACCATGGATGACGAAAGGGTTGAGAAATGCTTGTAAAAAAAAGAATTATTTGTATACATGTTTCTTGAAATTGAGAACACAAGAGGCTGAAGAGAAATATAAGAAGTATAAAAATAAATTAGTAGGGATTATAAGGAAACACAAGAAGGAATATTATAGTGATTTATTAAATAAAAGTAGTGGTGATATGAAAGCTACATGGCGAGTAATAAAAAGTGTTCTGAAAAGTCATAAAGCAAAAACAGGTATTTCACAATATTTTTTGAAGGATGACGATGAAATCCATGATGAAAATGAAATTGTAAATGGATTTAATCATCATTTTGTGAACGTTGGATCAAGCCTTGCAGCTAAAATACCAAAAGTAGACAATAATGTGAAACATTCAGTTATAAGTTGTGACAGCAGTATTTTTCTTAATGGAACTGACAAAGAAGAAATAATGAATGTTGTAAAAAATCTTACAGATAAGAGATCAAAAGACTGGGTGGACATGGATATGA